TCTAAAACAATACAAAAAAAAAAAAATGGATTCAGAAGTTGGCACATCATTGTTCTAGTATTTGTTCACCTAGTCATAACCTATTATGTTAAAAATATAAAAACAAGTTTAGTTTGCTATAAAGCATGAAACATTCATTTTACGACGAGTTAAGATAAACAAACGAATAACTGAGTGATTGACCACACTTGGTCAATCACTAAATTATTTAAAGTTGATCTGATCCAATATATGATCAACATCATTGCTGAATCACAGATCAAAAACATAGATTTTAGGTATAAAATGATATGACCCCGGAAGTTTCATTGGATTTAAGTTACTTATATCATATGTTTATTTAAATCTAATATTAATAAAATTTTAAGGATTTTATTATTCATCTTATTATTATTATTATTATTATTATTATTATTATTATTATTATTATTATTATTATTATTATTATTATTATTGCTATTATTATTATTATTTTTATTATTATTATTATTCATATCGAATATTTGAAGGATCTAACTTTAAAAAAAATCTAATGAGTAGCCCTTTTTGAGAAAACTCAAATTTAAAGTTTGCAAAAAATTTATTATATTTTTGTAGTATTTTTAGTGGTTTTGTTTCTTTAATTAGTAATAAAATCAAAAGTATGGTTGATAATACAATGTTTATTTATAATTTTTGTTACATATCACAAGCAGAGGCAACTCTACTCATAAAATAAGAAAGGGGGTTGAATCCTTAAAAAGTACTGACTGGCCAACTAAATTTGTGAAAAAACCGACAATAACTTATTTATATTTTTTTATATTATTTATTTATTTTGCCGTTGATAAATATTACAAAAAAGAAATTACAATAAAAGAAAATCCTGGCTGGAGCAGGAAGAAGACAGGTTGTCTTATCACCGAGCCCCGAAAATATGTTGAAAATCATCTTCTTTGGGGAGGGTGAGGGGTGTCTTACCACACACCCTTTCCCTGCATAATCGCGTCTGATTTATTTAATAATAATATTTTAGTTAACAAGAAAAAACTGTCAATCTGTTTTCCATTCTATACCAATATTTGTGGATTTATAGCATAACTAGTCATATACATTTACACACACACACACACAAATAAAAAAAATATATATATATATATATATATATATATATATAAATATAAATATAAATATATATATATATATATATATATATATATATATATATACATATATATATATATATATATATATATATATATATATATATATATATACATATACATACATAATGATATATATATATATATATATATATATATATATATATATATATATAAATATATATATATATATATAAATATATATATATATATATATATATATATAAATATATATATATATATATATTTATATATATATATATATTTATATATATATATATATATATATATATATATATATATATATATATATATATATATATATATATATATATATATATATATATATATATATATATATATATATATATATATATATATATATATATATACATATATAATGATATTGCAGGCGTAATACTTTTTATGTATTCACATAAATTTATGGATTACAATAAAATAGTATTTCCTATTAAAATTTATTCTAATTTGTACTGTCTTCCCATGCTCACTTTCTAGACTTAAATATGTAACAACCCTAACCCTAACCCTAACCCTAACCCCTAACCCATGTGTCTTAAATAGATAATCCGCCTAAAAATAAAAAATAAAATCTGCAAAACTAGTAAAAAGAACCAAAAAGTTTACTCACTTGAAAGAGTAAATATAAGAGAAGTCACGAGGACAATCAGAGATTGGTTTGTACCTGCTCCCATCTCAAGATTTAAAATGTATACCCATCAACCTGAATCTGGAGAGATTATAAAAGACCTTATCAATTTTAACTATTCAAAACATGTGATTGAGTATCCAACAGGTAAAACTTACATCAAGCATTTTTATACAAGAGATTCAGTATTCTCAGCAGTTCAATATTGTCTTTTGACAGTATATTGAACGAAACATTTTTTAAAAAGAATAGATGTCTCACAGCTTACTCATAGAAATGTTTTTTGTTTAAAATAAATTTAATTTTAATCCATAACTGCAATTTTATTTTACTCTGGGAATTCGTTCATATTGCAAATCATACATATACAAGCTGGCTTCCAATAATCCTATTCCAACAAATGTTACTGAAAACTGGAAGCAAGGGAATGTTTTTCAAGTCTGGAAGAAATTGTAACACACAGTCTACAGTTTGCGCTAAGACAAAATCCATGGAACGTAAGGTGATAGAGAAAACCAAATCTAGAATTGAAAGTTGAAGTCATAAAAACCTCTTCTTTTATGTCCTAACTACTTTTGTAATTTTGGTAAAAGTATACCCCACAAATGTTCTCCTAAACAGCAGACGGTAAATGTTTCAAGCCAGCTAAGTAGCAAATCATCAAAGGTATCATAGCAAGTCTCTCTATTAAATAGACGTTTACGCGGCGACCTCATTCAAAAATATAAATTCGAAAACAGTATCGACTCAATTAGCTGGCATATAGATCCACCTAACATCCCACCTAGCTACGGTCATCGCAAGCGTTTTCATCGTGAAACGGACAACAACTGCCTCGTTCGCTATAATTCCTTCAACAACCGCGTCGCTCACCCATGGAACGCATTACCTAACGTAGTAGTCAGTGCTACCAGTGTCGATTGCTTCAAAGCAAAATTCAATCAGCTTTAATAATTACAACAGCGCATCATCTTCCGTGCAATTTCGCACGAGCTAGCACGGCTAGCACGAGCTAGCACGGCTAGCTGTTGATGGGCTTACGGAACACGCCCGCTCCGTGTAATTTTAACTTTAACTAACTAAACAAGTTAATTCAATTCTGCTCAAAAGCATCTATAGATTTTTACTGACAATTTTTGAAGAAGAGATCAATATTTCAACAAGTTAGGTTATTTATTTATTATACTAAAAATTAAATGTGAAATGACAATTTTTGTGTTTTCAGTATCAACCATTTTTAAATATGTATCTATGAATTGATAGATTTTATTACAAAAGGGTCATTGTTTCATGCAATCTTTGGAAAACCAATTGAACAAACCAGGAAAAATAAATTTAAAGAGATCAATATATGATTAAGCAAATGTTGCATGAGGACAATGCGGTATTAAATTTAAATCATTCATGTAAGCAAAACTAGATGTCAGGAACAAGATCCTATCAGATTTTAATGTTAGCAAGACTATTCAAGCAAAAGAGGAGATAAACAAAGGTTTATAATTATATCAAATAAGGATGTTTTGCAAAAAGTTGCGATGATTGGGGCCTGGGAACAAAAAGCTCCAAAATTATAGCCCCCCTTCCCCAAACATGACAGCAACAATTGATGAAATATTTTTTGAAAAAATATTTCATCAACAAGTTGATGAAATATTTTTTGAACTATTTTCAACTAGACTTATATTTATCGATAAATTTAAAATTTCATAGTAGAATATTTTAACATTCAAAAAATATGATCATATTAAGTTTGAAACCCCCTCAATTTGAGGGGGTTGCAAATTTTATATGATCAAAATTATGATTTTTGAATGCTGGGAAATTATACTATGAAACTTAAAATTTTTCAATAGACTTATATTGTCTAGTTTAAAATAGCGCAAAAAATATTTCAGCTCACACATCTAGGGCAGGGGACAAAAGTACATTTTTTGGTATTTCACAATAATTTATGCATAATACTTTTCTCAAAGAGATATTATTACAATAAACAGCATTATTTAAAAGTATTTGATTGATATTTTTTTATAGTATCATGATATGGATTTGACTGTCACTTGGAAAGTACATGCTATTACAGCACACTTAAAAGACTTTATCTCAAGATCAGGCCATTCTTTTGGAAGATATGCAAAGCAGGTTTCTGAAGCAGCTCATGCTAAAATAAAGCCTGTTATTACCAGATTAAAATTTTTTTCTCATTTTCTCAAATAAGCAAAAAATATTTGACAAGAAGCGAGAGAATTGCATAGGTGTTTTATAACTTGTAATCAAAGAACCTTATCAAAGTTATAATATATTATTAAAGAATTATTTGTCATTGATATTTTAACTAAAATGTTTTTTTTTTTTTTTTTTTAAATTTTAATTCACCTCCTCAAGGCCAAGAAGGCCACTACAGACGAGGAAGACGAGGAAGCTACTTATTTGTGGTTATAACCCTCTCTCAACTCTATAACTCCGAAACACGAACTTTGACGAGCAAGGTCGCTGCGCGGAGAAACGAGTTGAGCGCGGTACTACCAGGGACGTGGTGGGGATCGAACTCGGAACCACTCGTATATGAAGCGAGCGCTCTACCACTACACCACTACCGCATACGTTTTAGTCTTGTGATATGTAGCATAAAAACTAATAAACATTGTATTATCAACTTTTGGTGGAAATACTCAATAAAGAAATAAAAACATTAAAAATCTTAAAAAAATCTTCTGAAAGTTTTGTTTAAAGCTGTCAAATATTTTTCGCGTTTACTTGTCTATGGTACCATATGGTAGAAGAGTATTTTCCCGCTGTTTTTTAAATCGTTTTACTATAGTAGGGCTTATTTTGTTATAAATGGTCAACCACTGGCACATTTTTTTAAATTGACATTTTAGTTTATAAATATTCCTTTTCAAAACAAGAACTTTTTTTTTCTTGTAGTTATTTTATTTGTCCCTTTTTAACTTTTTATTTGTCCATATTTAAGAGTGATCCACTGTATTGAATTTCTAATAAACCAGTATTTTTTTAAAAAGCAATCAAAATTTCTCTAATAAAAAAAAAGAAAAAAAAAAAAAGAAAAGATAACGTCAAAACAATCAAACCGGGAGAACATCATTAAATTGTTTTTAAAAGACATCTTGTTTTTAATGAAACAAAGCATGTTCTGTTCCGTATAATAGTTTACCAGACTCATGTCCTTGACACCAAATAAGCAACAACAACAAAGTACGCGTGCGATTTCTCTTAAGACAAAATATACTTTTTATAAATATTCGACCAAGTATTGATTATTATTTTTAATAATGAATTAGTAAATATATATGTTATGAATTCCAAAAATAGTCATAATAAAAATAAAAAAAAAACGGAAGAGTTTACAGGTTATAAATACTATTATATAAACATTTTTATTATATTTGTTTTATAACATTTGTATTTAGCTACACTGTTGTTCTTGTATATTTTTATAAATATATGTATAAATACAGTTTAAACTACTTTCCACACGAAAAATTTCGTTGTAGCTATATTTGCTATATTTTTACTACTTTTTAAAAGTAATTTGTACTTTTACATTAAAAATATGATATCCGTTACTCATAACAGTTGTTAATTTTCTATAAAAGAAAAATCATTTTTGTAAAAAACATCATTTTGTTAGAAGCAAATCATTTTTGTTAAAAAGAATATGTATATAAATTAAAAAAATGAATAAATAAAAAATAAATTAAACTTAAGATTCCGAATAATTTTCTTTAGTGCATTTTATTTTAATTGATTAAAAAAAAGAAAAGAAATTATGTTTTTAATTAAAAAAAAAATTTTTGTAAGCAGAAATTACAGTTGCTTGTCTAGTTATTTGTGTTTGAATTCCAAAATTTATTTAATTTTGTTCACTTTCAAAAATAAATTTGTATAAAAATTTAATTTTAAATTTAGAATTAAGTAAAATAATAAATTATAATGTTTAAGCAATTTGTAAAAATTGACTTTATTTTTTATGTTTTACATTTATTTACTGTTATATTTGTTTATTTTCATTCATTTTTTAAAATTTACAATAGTGTTTAACTATATCTTATTGTTAGATTTTAAACCATGCTTATAATAAATAATGTTTATAAGTTTACAGCAGCATTAGTTTAGCGTTATTAATTTAGTCAAGTTTTAATACCTGTGATATAGTTCTTTAAGTGTGACAAAACTATAATTTTTTTTTTATAAACTAGTTTATTGACTTGAAATTGAATTTAAATTTTCAGTTATGCCTTCAAAGAATGACACTCTATCAAACCAAAACCCATTTAGAGTTCCAAAAGACAAAGAAATGGTCAAGTTTCAAGAAGAAGAAAAAAACCAAAAAAAACAG